GTTACAATTGATGAACCTACATTCACATGTCATTACCATCCAGAGTCCAGAGCTTACATTAGGGTTGTTGGTTGTTTATTTGTTAATTTATTTATTTTAAGATTTTACTTATTTTAGAGAGAGAGAGAGAAAGAGAGCAGAAGCTAGAGGGTGGGGGTAGGGGGTGAGGTAGAGGGAGAGGGAGAAGCAGACTCTCTGCTGAGCAGGGAGCCCAATGTGGGACTCAGTCCCAGGACCCCGAGATCATGACCAGAGCCGAAGACAGATGCTTAACCCTACTGAGCCACCCAGGCGCCCCTTACATTATGGTTTGATCTTGGTGTCTTACATTTTATGCATTTTATGGGTTTGAACACATGTATAGTAACACGTATCCACCATGACATCCTACAGAACCGTTTCACTGCCCTAATAATCCTCTCTGCGCTCCACCTATTCATTTCTCCCTCCCCTCAACCCCTGGCAGCCGCTGATGCTTTTACCGCCTCCATTGTTCTCTGTCTTTTCCAGAATGTCACAGAATTGGAATCACACAATAAGTGACCTTTTCAGATTGTCCTCTTTCACTGATTAATATGCACTTCAGATTCCTCCCCATCCTTTCACGGCTTATAGCACATTCCTCTTTGGCACCGAATAATATTCTATTATCTGGATGTACCAGTTTACTTATCCATTCACCCACTGAAGGACATCTGGGTTGCTTCCAAGTTTGGCCAATTACGAATAAGGCTGCCATAAACATTTGTGTGCAGGTTTTCACGCGGACATACTTTTTCAACGCCTTTGGGTAAATGCCAAGGAGCGCAATTCCTGGATCCTATGGTAAGAGTACATTTAGTTGTGTAAGAAATTGCCAAACTGTCTCCCTGAATGGCAGCACCATTCTGCAATCCCACCGGCAGTGAGTGAGAGTCCCGTTGCTCCAACACCTAGCATTGGGATTGTCGGTGTTCAGATCTTGGCCATTCTCATAGGTGTGCAGTGGTTTTCCTTGCCTTTTACTACTTCTGAAGGCTGCCCACATCCTTGGGCAGGAAGGGCTCGCGATGCCCTCTTCCATCTTTAAAGCCAACAGTGGTGGACCAGATACCTTCTCAGGTCACATCACTCTGACTATTGGTAGCCTCGTCTCCCTCCCTGATTCTCTCCTGCCTCCCCCTTTCACGTTCAGGGACCCTTGTGATTATGTTGAGCCTGCCTGGAGAATCCAGGATGATCTCCTCACCTCAAGGCCCTTACTTTAATCACATTTGCAAAGCCCCTATGGCCATGTGAGGTCACAAATTCCTTGGCTCAGGGGATTAGGACATGGACATCTTTGGGAGATGATTATTCTGCCTACCACAGGCCTTTTGTGGTGTTCTCGGCAATTGCTGTTGTGTCCCAGGCATGTGACAGGTATATTCCAGATCTTATGGGATGCGCTCAGAGCTTCTGGGGTTTCCAGGAAAGGAGGTCTGTCTTTAAGACTGCTGACCTGGCCCAGCCAGTCTCTCAGAGGAAACATCACAGGGTTTCTCTGTATCCAGACCCCTTCCTGTACCAGCTTCAGAACAATCTTTCTGGGGTGCCTGGGTGCTCAGTTGGTGAAGCATCTGCCTTAGGCTCAGGTCATGATCCTGGGGGTCCCGGGATCCTGGGATCGAGCCCTGCATTCGGCTCCCTGCTTAGCAGGGAGTCTGCTTCTCCCTCTCCCTCTCCCTCCTCCTTGCTCATGCTCTCTCTCTCTCTCAAAATAAATAAGTAAAATCTTAAGAAGAAAAAAAGAAAAAAGAATACAGCCTTTTGGGCAAGACCGATTCTCCAGGAAAACAAAAGCAACCGAAGGTCAAGGTCTGTTTTGGGATTACTGTTAGGATCCAGGGGATGCCTTTCTTCCCAGGGAGGTTGAAACTTGGAGGAGGGAGGGCCCAGGACCAGGAAGCCAAAGATGAGGAACTTGACCCTGACCCTCTCATGAAGGGTCTTCATGTGCCAACTCAATGTTGACAGGTCAGAGCCTGGCCACTGGGACGCAGTGCCTGTGAGCTGACCAGGAGTGGGTAGGGCAGATGGTGGAAGACAAGATGGGGTCTCTAGGCCAGTTATTTTGCTTTCCGGGCTCCTGCCCAGGGCTCCCTCAGACCTCAGACCCCAGTACCTGAGCCTGGGGCTTAAGGCCTTGGCTTGCTCTAGCCAGGGCCAGATCTCTGAAATATCCCAGGGCAGCTCCTGCTTAATGGTGGGATATTAAGTGTTCTCCTCCTTCTGCCTCAACCACAGCCTGTGCTCACTCAGGTCCATTCCCAGGAGAGACACTGGGGCCTCTCTGCCCACCTGTGCTGCTCAGCATCCATCACCACAACCCATCAGGGGCTCTGTCATTGACGGTCATCCAGACTAGAAGTCTGCCTATGGGCTGTCAGTTTGTCTCTGCTCTTCACTTGGCCAGGGGTCTCCACCTGATTGTCAGTAGATTCAACTAGAATCTGTGAGTCCTCCAGATTATCATTAAACCAACTCACCCAGGCACTTAGGTACCAAGCAGGGGTTCTGACTGCTGCCCTCTCCCTGAGCCTGAGTGTCAGCTTGTCATGGCTTGTGTGAGGCTGCATAGTGGCCCCTAAAGATATCTTCATTCTAATCCCTGGAACCTTGACTGTTGTCTTATATGGCAACAGAGATTTTGCAGAGGTGACTAAGAGTTTAAAGGTGGGAAGATGTAAATATTAAAGAACTTGGTGTTTGCCCCCTGTGTTTGTCCCCTGTTCCTGGAAGGCATCATCTACACCCTTGGGATTTCCTGAGTGATAGGAGGATCTTAGTTATTCGTGGGGGGCCCTGGGACCACACCTGAGTTATACCAAGGAGATGACTCAGAGTGGGGCTGATCATGCCAGAAAGACCAGCCAGGAGGGGTGGGACCTTCAACCACCTGACCTCCATGGAGGAGAGAGGGGCTGGTGATGGGGTGCAATCATGCGGCCACCGATTCAATCAACCATGCCTTCAAAATGAAATCCCAACGAATTCTAGACACCAAAGTTCAGAGGAGCTTCCTGGTTCCTGAAAAGACATCACCATGCCAGTAAGGGGACGTGTCCTGAGTCCTTGGAGACAGGCTACCAAAGCTCCGTGTTTGGGACTCTCCTGGCCCTCGCCATATGGGTCTCTTCATTTGGCCAGTCTGGATTTGTGTCCTTCCTTTACAATTAAACTGTAAGTACTAGACAGAGCTTTCCTGAGGTCTATGGGTCACTCTAGTGAATTATGAAACCAGAGGGATTGTGAGTTCCTTTGAATTTGTATCAGTTGGTCAGAATCAGTTGGTCCAAAGTGTGGGTGGCCTCGGTACCCTCAAACTTGCAATTGGTGTCTGCAGTGAGGGCAGTCTTGTGAGGAGCTGCACCTTTAATCTGCGGGTGGCGTCTGCACTAACTCAGGGCGATTAGTGCAGAATTACAGGGGATCATCTTGGATTCTCTGGGTGGGCCTTAACTGCAATCTCAGGCATCCTTTATAAGAAGGGAGGCAGAGGGAGATTTGACACAGAAGAAGGCAATGTGATCAGTGAAGCAAGATACTACCCTACTGGGGATCCCTGGGTGGCGCAGCGGTTTGGCGCCTGCCTTTGGCCCAGGGCGCGATCCTGGAGACCCGGGATCGAATCCCACGTCGGGCTCCAGGTGCATGGAGCCTGCTTCTCCTTCTGCCTATGTCTCTGCCTCTCTCTCTCTCTGTGACTATCATAAAAAAAAAAAAAAAAAGATACTACCCTACTAATTTTGAGGATGGAAGAAGGGACCATGAGCCAGGGAATGTGAGGAATGAAGCTCAAGAAGCAAGGAAAGGCAAGGAAATAGTTTCTCCCCTGGAGTTTCCAGACGGAGCCTGGCCCTGGTGACACCTTGTTCTGGGCCCAGTAAAACTAATTTTGCACTTCCGACTTCCAGAACTACAAGAGAATGGTGTGTTGTTTTTAAGCCACCAAATTGGTGGTCATTTGTTACAGCAGCCCCAGGAAACTCATACAGCCTTCCAAGCCAACTGTCTGGAAATCCATCAGTCTGGCCACCAGTCCACTAGGTATGTTATCTGTCCAGCACTCAGGTGGCTCCTGGGCCTGGTTAGTGCCTCACTCTGGGCTGCAGTAGTAGAGCACCCAGAGGAGGATTGGGGTTCACTGGAGGGTCTTCCCTGGCCAGGGAGTCTGAGTGGTGGTCTTTCTTCTGCTTGCCCAGTCACTGCTCTCAGGGCTGGGCAGCCTGGGGGCTCCCAATGGGCTCCCCAGAACTAAAAGTTTCCTGTCTCCACTGGAAATTTTGGGAGAGGCCCAGGTCTCCAGGATGAGGGCAGAAAACTTTGGGAATGCAGGGTGAATTCAAATCAAAAGTCCCCAGCTGATAAAGCCAGCCTCAGTGCACCCTGCACCCTCCAAATGGCTTCAGCCATACTTAGCACATCCCAACACCCTCTGCTTGCAAAGACCTCCCTTCCCAGCTCCTCATGCTGAAATCCCATTGTTTCTCGAAAGTTTTCTCTGAGAGATCATTCCACCCAGTGGTCACAGAATCTAGGTGCCCAAGACAGAGGGACTTGTGCCTCAGATTCCCTGGCAGGCCCTCTCCCACCTGCCTTATGGCCTTGTCTCAGACTGCCAAATCTCCACAGGAGAGGTGTCCCCAAGGAGGGGCCACTGCTGCAGTATTCCAACACAGTTCCTCCCCTGGAGGTGCAGCTTCTCCAAATGCATCACGAGACATTCATGCATTCTTCTTTTGAGTCACTGGTCACATCATTCCTGTGCCCAGCTAGATCAGAGGGGTGGGGGCAGGGGAGCCCTGAGTCTGAGTCAATCCTGTGTCTCTAGCTGTCCTGGCCAAGTGCAGGTTACTCACTGAGCTTTGGGGCATCATAGGGCCAGGACATCACTTAGAGAGGTCAGGGTCACTCACAGGGATCATATTAGGGTCTCGGGGATAGAACTTAGGACAGCTCACCAAAGCCATGAATCAAAATTCATTTCTCAAGCATTTATTGATGCTTCCTAGGGTTGCGAAGACAGCTCACAAAACCCCTATCTGTGAGGGCTCCCAGTCTGGGGGAGAATGCGAGAAAACCAGCTCCATGCTTGAGTTGCCTTGCTTTGGTTAGGGAGGGAGGTGGGGCCCAGGGACCGGCCCAGGAGCCGGGATTTGGGTGGGGGTGGAGGCTAGGTTGTCTGTGTGAGGGCTTGCGGTGAGGTTGGAGTGGAGGTCCCAGCGCCCGCACCTGCCTGGGTTGGGTGGACGGCTCTTAGTAGTTCTGGTGGTGGGCGGCGCCAGGACGGTGAACAGCCCAGGCGGCAGTCGCGGATGGCCCCCCGACCCGCAGGCTGTGGGTACGGCTGGTGGGCACCGGGCGGGGTCAGCAGCTGCGCCTCTTCTCACAGATCCAGTTGTCCTTCTCGTTTTCGCACGGTGCGTCATTCCACATCCCGGTGCGTAGCATCATAGCGCAGTCCTCGCGCCCCATAGAGTCATTGGGCTCTCCCGTGTTCCACTGGCTGCAGTGGTTTGTTGGGGGGTGTTTCTGGGAGTCTGAGGATGGGCCTGGCGTCCAGCCCTGAGCATCTACCCTGTTTATTGCTTGGGTCCAACCTAGACACCCTGGGGGTCTAATCTGGGCATGCACCTGGGATATAACTCTCTAACTCCCAGAATTTAACCCTCCGCCAGGTCCTGGGGTCTGGCCTGCCCATGCCAAACGAGTCCCTGAGATCTGGCCAAAGCACTTCCCCTGGGGTCTGACCCGTCCCTCTCCCCAAATCCCTTTCCTCACCTGAAGCTGAGCGGGACTCCGTCTATCCACTGGTAGCCCTGGATCTTGCCCGCGCGGCGCACGGCCCGCAGGCCCAGCCAGAAACCACGGCCACGTGTATTCCGACTCAGGAAGCCCTGCGTGGGAAGGAGTCACCTCGCACCCCTCCCGGGCCTCGCCCCATCAGGTGAAGGCCGCCTCCCGCCTGGGACAGCGCACCTGCTCCTCCAGGTCCCCTACAATCACCAGGTGTGCGCCTGCGGCTGCGCAGTTCTGCTGCGACGCCTCCCAGGTGGCCCGCTGGACGGAGAAAAGGTAGCAGGAGCCCTGGAAGGGCAGCCAGGATTCGGGGCACTCCTCGCAGGAGCCTGTGGGGTGGCGAGAGTCAGGGAGGTGAAGCGCTCCCTGGCAGGGCGAATGGAAAAAACGCGGGGGAGGTGCCCCCCACCCAGGTGTAGGGGCGGAGGCACAGAGAACAGGCCAAGGTCAAGGGGCAGGGCAGGGCAGGGCGGATCAAGGAAGCCAAGGAAGCCGAGGCCCACAGGGAGGGTCCACTTGTCCCCTCCTCTCTCCCCTCTGTCTGTGTCGCTCACTGTTCCCCTGCCGGACGGCCTCCAGAGCCCTGAACAGCTCGGTTCGGATGCCCTCGCGGTCCCTGCCCGCCTCGGCCAAGCTCTGGGTCACTGCGAAGTCAAGGGAGTTCGGGTTACTGCTCAGGTCAGGGTCAGGACTAGGGTCACGATTAGTTAAAGGTCAGCAGCCATGTCCGGTGGTCAGGGTCACGGGCAAGAATGACATCACGGTCCAGAAGTGGTCTGGCCGGCGGGGGCCAAGTTGAGGTTGGGGTTAGGGGTGTTAGTCAAGGTCAGAGTCCAGAGGTCAGGGTCACAGGATAGGGTCGCGGTAACCCTATTCCAGGATAGGTGTCAGCATGTGGATCAAGGGTGGAGTGACAGCTGGGGTGAGGGAATCAGGGGGCGAGGCAGTGTCCCGCCCTCACGCTCTCACCGCGATCGCTCAGTTCTTTCAGGGCACTCTCTTGCTGGATCAGCTTCGCCTGCGCCTCCCCGAGCTCGGTGCGTGCTCTCTGCAGCAGCTTCTGGGTCCCCAAGCCTGGAGAGGAGGGGTCGGGGGAGGAGGAGGAGGAGGAGGACCAATCCGTCCCTCCCCCACCTGCCACGAACCCGCCCCTGCTCGCCTCCTCCAATCCCGGCCCGAGCCCGCCCCCCCCCCCGCGGGTCTCACAGCAGGTGTTGCAGGCTCGGACCTCCCGGTTCAAAGCCCCCAGCGCCTCCGACTGCTCCGAGGCTGGAATGATCCCCGCCCGCCCCACGCACACGCCGGGTCACCTGCGGGGACTCACAGGACACCCTTCCCCACTCCGAGGCCGCCCCCCCCCCCGGGACTGAGGGAGCCTCACCCTCCCACCCACCCACTACCTTGTCTCCAGGGTCCTAAACACTCCCGCCCCGCACATCCTGGGGTGGGGGGTGGGGGATGGTGGCTACGAGTCACCGTTTGCACGCACCGTTCGTCCTCAGCAGATCCTGGTGGCCAAGCAGCGCCCGTCGCTCTGTGGAGGCTGTGGAGAGAGGCTCCTGCAGGTCCCCCGAACTCTCCCCTTGCCTATGGGGTGCAGGACCCCATGCTTGGGACACACAGAAGGGCTGGGCAGGCATACGGCACACGTGATGTGCACACACATTCTACCTGTGTCTCTGGCTCTCTCTCTCTCATGAATAAATAAATAAAATCTTTTTTTTTTTAATGTAAAAAAAAAAAAAAAAAGGACCGCTTGGGTGGCTCAGCAGTTGAGCATCTGCCTTTGGCTCAGAATGTGATCCTGGAGTCCCAGGATTGAGTCCCACATCGTGCTGCTACCTGCAGGGAGCCTGCTTCTCCCTCTGCCTGTGTCTGCCTCTCTCTCTCTCTCTCTCTCTCTCTCTCTCAATCTCTCTCATGAATAAATAAAATCTTTAAAAAAAACTGATGTACACACACACCCAGGAGCAACAAACACACAGGCACATGCACACACACTCATGTGCACACATACATACACATGTGGGTTCACACAGCCCAAAGATGGGCACAAACTCTATTCGCACGTGTTCACACTCAGACCCACGCAGGGATCCAAGACCCAGCTGGTGAGACCTGAGACAGAGGGAAAGTCTGTCCCCAGGGCAGCTTGGCACAACCTCCCTTCATTATGCGGTCACTCACCCTTAGAAACGAGGATGTTCAGGATGAGAGCCCACAGGACTGTGGCCACTGCCAGAACCAGGCCCAGGAAGAGGAGTCTCTGTCCCCAGCGTCCCCAGCGTCCCCAGCACCCTGGATAACACAGATGGACTCTTGGGTCCCTCTTGCACCAGGACCGCTCTGGATCTCTGCGCCTTGAGGATGGAGCCCTGGGCACTTGGATTCCTCCCAAGGAACTGAGATTCAGAGAGGTTAAGTAACTTGCTCAAGGTCACACGAGCTCTAAGTGGCAGAGTTAGAATTTGAATCCAGGTCCAGCTAGTCCTGGCACCTCTGGTGTCTCTCCTGCACCCACTACTTGGACCTGCTCTCAGCTGTTCCCCTCCTTTCCCTCATCAAACCCCAAACCACTGGCCAGAGAGACCCAAGCAGGCCGGTGAGGCGGTCCCATTGCTCATACCTCCAGGGACATCCTCGAGCCCGCCGCCCCACTTGCTGTACCCGGCAGTGTCCATGGTGAGCAGGCGCCCAGCCCGGGGCATAGATAGAAATGTAGCCTCCTCTCAGTCCCGCCTTCTCTTTTCCTTCCTTCCCATAGCCTTCCTCTCAGTTCCTGGTACTGGGACCCACAGGCCAATCGCAGGGCTGGGCCCTTTCTGGTCTGGGCTGGTTTAGGGGTAAGTGTGAAGTGGGATGGGGGAAGTGTAGTCAGAGCAGAGGGGTAGAAGGGGATTGAGCAGGGTAGAGGAGTGGAGAGGGATGGGGAGTGTGTGTGTGTGTGTGTGTGTGTGTGTGTGTGTGTGTGCACGCACACACGTAGTTCTAGTCTCTCTGGCCTGGCAGCTGCAGCAACATCTCCAGACTGGTGCTGGGGGCTTCAGTTTGGACCTCACCTCCATCTCTTAGAGGGCTGGGGCTGGGCTTCCTCCTAGGAGGAAGAGGCTGAGTCCAGCTGAGTTCTGGTCCCTTCTAGAGGGTTCCTGAAAAAGCTCCCTCAGGCCTGGCCCCCCAGGGCAGCTCTTGCTTCCCTCCTCAACTTCTCTGCAGGTGCATGGAGGCTGGATCTGACCTTGACCTTAATTCAATCCTTCCTGGCCAGAAGGGAGAACAGAAATGTTTGTTGGGTGGTGGCCAGCTACGCTCTGGACTCTATTATTGGGTGGATGAGTGGGGGTGTATGTATGTAGCTTTCTTTCTTTCTTTTTTTTAATTTTTTAAATATTTTATTTATTTATGAGAGACACAGAGAGATGCAGAGAGAGAGAGGCAGAGACACAGGCAGAGGGAGAAACAGGCTCCACGCAGGGAGCCCGACGTGAGACTTGATCCCGGGTCTCCAGGATCACGCCCTGAGCTGAAGGCAGGCACTTAACCGCTGAGCCACCCAGGTGTCCCATATGTAGCTTTTCTATGAAGCCTCAGCTTTTCTCCTCCATGCAAAGGAGGACGGCGACAGGTCCTCCCTCCAAGGGATGCTAAGATAAAGACATGAGTTATGCATGTCAAGCCCCAGCACCATCCCCAGGCACTAACCCCACTAAATGTTCATTCATTCAATAAGTATTGCACACCTGCCTTGTGCCAGGTATTAATCTAGGAACTGGGGAGACATCAACGTCCCATAGAAGCAAATTCCTTCCTTCTCGGAGCAAACATTCTAGGTGGGAGTTGAGAGAGAGAGAGACAAATAAATAATGAACATAAATGAAAAAGTAAGTTGTATAGCCTAGTGGTTCTCAACCAGGGGTGATTATGAGTCCCAGGAGACATTGGGCAGTGTCTGGAGACTTTAGTGGTTATCACAATTTGGGAGGGGGTACTACTGGCATCTACTCAGTGGAGACCAGGGATGCTACTAAACAGGCTATAACACACAGGACAGCCTCCCATGGCAAAGAATGACTGGCCCCCAATGTCAATACTGATGGCAAGAACCCTAATGTAGGGGATCCCTGGGTGGCGCAGCGGTTTGGCGCCTGCCTTTGGCCCAGGGCGCGATCCTGGAGACCCGGGATCGAGTCCCACATCAGGCTCACCGGTGCATGGAGCCTGCTTCTCCCTCTGCCTGTGTCTCTGCGTCTCTCTCTCTCTCTCTCTCTGTCTCTCTCTCTCTCTATCATAAATAAATTAAAAAAAAAAAGAACCCTAATGTCATATATTAACAAGTCATAAGTGCCATGAGAAGAAAGAAATGAAGAAAAAGGCAGGCAGAATAAAAAGCTTGGGATACTGGGGCTGGGGCAGTGGCTAGTAAGGGGACCTCACTCAGAAAGACAAATATATATTTTTCAAGCACTTCCCACATTTCAGCCCCTTTTGTAGCAATGTGAACACATTCCACCTTCCCAAATCCTCTCAACAATGTTCAGAAATAACAAATATTACCCACATTTTATTTAAAAATTCTATTCAATGCCTATTTTCCTACCTTATTCCAAAAGAAATGAGAGAGACACACATGATAAAATAAGATGAAAAGACAGAGGCAAAAGAGAGATGAGGATCAGGAAGGGAACAGGAACCTAAGAGATGAGTCTGGTGCACAAAATTCAGCCGGAGGTACCGCACTCTTGATAAAGGCAGCAGGAAAGTGGGGTCAGACATCTGGGGATGTGCGGCAAATTCTTTTGGAGGAATCCCTCCAATAGACGTGTAGACCAAATCCCCATCGAACTTTCCATAAACACAGTAGCAATTTTCTACCACTTGGGCCAAGGTGAATCGCTCCTTGGGCAGGCGTGGTTTTAGGGAAAGCGGGTTTGCCTGAACTCAAAGCGAGTGACCGACCCCACTGTTGGGGTGCTTTTAGCATGTTTCTGGAAGCAGTGAGTTTGAGACCACAGAGAGAAGCTGGCTGAGTGAGGGGTGAGCCACAGGCTTTGGTGGGTACCTGGTAGGGTCTGTCCCTGGCAAGCGCTCTCTGTAAATGAGAATCCGGAGCCGAGAGGAAATCATTTAAGTACAATGGGAGAAACTGTGCCTCATGTGGAATCGAGATGTAAAATATCCCCAATAAGCCAGATGATAACTTCAGGCAAATCATTTACTCTCTTGGTACCCCATTTTTTTCATCTTTAGCATCAATAGATGATAAAGTTTTTGTTACCCAATTCATTATGTTTCTGTGGCCATGTAGAAGACAGCTGTGAATGCACTGTGAAAGGTTTACTATACAAATACAGGATTTTTTTTAAAGATTTATTTATTCATGAGAGACACAGAGAGGCAGAGACACAGGCAGAGGGAGAAGCAGGCTCCCCGTGGGGAACTCAACGTGGGACTCGATCCTGGGACCCCAGGACCACTATCTGAGTCAAAGGCAAACGCCCAACCACCAAGCCACCCGGATACCCCAAATACAGGATATTATTCAATATAGTGGAATCCATATTAACTAAAGACATTGCGATGGCCCTGTTTAACTGGACCAGTGGAGAACACCATTTAGGGCTAGCCTCAGGCTTCAGTGAATACTGGGAGGCATCTATCACTGGTATTCAGGCACACACACACACACACACACACACCCCACAGGAATTTTCAATGGCAAGCCCAAATATTTCCTTTAGAAATGATCTTGGTCCTGTTCACAGATAACAGGTGACTAAGACCCCCATGGTTTTAAGTCAAAAGGTTGTGATCATTTTTAACTTGAAATATTTTAATTAATTTTTTCAAGTACCTTAAAACAAAGTTTTGTTGAGGTATTATTGACATTCAATAAACTGTACAGTTTTTTTAGATTTTTAAAAAGATTTATTTATTTATTTATTTATTTATTTATTTATTTATGATAGACACACACACACACAGAGAGAGAGAGGCAGAGACACAGGCAGAGGGAGAGGCAGGCTTCACACCGGGATTCCGATGCGGGACTCAATCCCGGGACTGCAGGATCGCACCCTGGGCCAAAGGCAGGCGCCAAACTGCTGAGCCACCCAGGAATCCCCTTAGATTTTTAAAAATTCATTTGGGAGAGACAGAGCAAGCGAGAGCATGAGCAATAGAGAGGGTCAGAGGGAGAGGGCAGACCAGACTCCTTGCTGAGCAGAGTGCCCGACATGGGACTCAATCCCAGGACCCTGGGATCATGACCTGAGCCAAGGGCAGATGCCTAACCAACTGAGCCACCCAGGTGTCCCTAAAGCAGGACTTGATCCCAGGACCCTAGGATCATGACCTGAGATGAAGGCAGACGTCTAACCAACTGAGCCACCCAGGTGCCCCTAAACTGTATATATTTAAAGTGTACAGTTTGATGAGTTTTGACTAATCCATGAAACCGTCACAATTGGGATGGTGAATGCAACCATCACCACCCAAAGATTCCCTGCGCCCCTTGGTAAGCCTCCCGTTACCCCCAGCTGCCACTGATCTGCTTTTTGTCTTTAGATTTGTTTGCATTTTCTAGAATTTTGTATGAAAGGCACCATACAATATGTAGCCTCTCGAGACTGGCTTCGTTAGCTCAGCATAATTATTTTGAGATTCATCCACGTTGTTGCATTAATACTTCATTCCTTCTTCCTGCTGAGTAGAATTTCATTGCGTGGACAGGCCAGTTTGATTCTACACTCACCTGCTGGTGGACATTTAGGCTGTTTCCAGTCCTGGCTATCATAAATAAAACTGCTGTGAACTTTTGTGAGCAAGTATTGTCATGCATGTATGCTCTCATTTCTCTTGGGTATATACCTAGGAGGGAATGATTGCATTAGATGTGTTTCATTTTTTTTTAAAGATTTTATTTATTCATGAGAGAACACACACAGAGAGGCAGACACATAGGCAGAGGGAGAAGCAGGCTCCCTGCGGGGGAACAGAAGTGGGACTTGATCCCAGGATCCCAGGATCAAGCCCTGAGCCCAAGGCAGATGCTCAACTGCTGGGCCACCAGGTAACCCAGTGTTTCATTTTTTAAAACGCTGCCAAACTATTTTCCAAAGTGGCTGTGCCATTTTTCATTCTTACCAGCGATGAATGAGAGTTCCATTTCCTCTGCTTTCTTGACAGCACATGGCATGATCAGTCTTTTTTTTTTTTTATGATAGTCACACACACAGAGAGAGAGACAGAGACAGAGACAGAGACACAGGCAGAGGGAAGAGCAGGCTCCATGCACCGGGAGCCCGACGTGGGACTCAATCCCGGGTCTCCAGGATCGCGCCCTGGGCCAAAGGCAGGTGCCAAACCGCTGCGCCACCCAGGGATCCCATGATCAGCCTTTTTAATTTTGACCATTCTCTTATTTTCATAGTGCAATTTTTAATTGGCATTTCCTTGATGATTAATGATGTGCAGCATCTTTTCATATAATTCTTTGCCACCTGAGTATTTTCTATGATGACCTGTCTCTTCAGAGCTTTTGCCCATTTAAAGAAATGAGTGGCCTCATCCCATCTGAGAGAGCAAGATGGATCACCAGCGGCTCTACTAGAGCCATCCAAGGAAGTTTGGCTAGAGTTGTCGTCTTTGCTATGTCTGCTCAAACCAGCACCATCTGATCCGGAAATAAGGCCTCATTATGTGCCACCAGTGTCTCTGTCATTATGCAAAGGATACAGTCTTCACTAAGTTGGATTAAGTGAACTTCCTTAAGTGGATCATCCAA